TCACAACAACTGCGGCTAGTTGAAAATCTAGTATGCATAGGTTGAAATAAAATACAAACATACTCTCTAATAGCGAATTACAAAACTATAAGTATGAAAAAAACCCAAAAATCCCCAAAAAATCCAAAAATCCGCTAATTTTTGGTTAATTTTTGTCTTTTTTCGTTATTTTCCGTTAATTAACGGAATAATTAGCGGAATTAACCTCTGTCCGCTATTAACGGATCCGGGTGGCCACCTCTACAAGGAGCCCGGCTCAGCGGAAATGGGATTAACTATCTTGTTAATGGGTTTATGCCCAGGCCGATGAGGGGCGGGCGCGCTAGCTTCAGTTGGACCAGTGCTACTTAAGTATAGTTGTTTTGGCGGCCCCCAGGGTGTCTATCCCCCTTTACCTTGGGTCAATGGCCAGTTCGTTGCATTCAAGGAGGGCCAAGGGTTTTTGGCGCCCTTGGGAGTGAGGGGCTTTGGCGTGCGCAAGCGGGGGAGGCTATTTAGGCTCACCCCTCGGTCCCCACTCCATCTTGTTTCACTTTCCGCCCGGCCCTCCCTATTAGGGTGATGTTCCGTTGTGTTGGGGCAAGTGTGGGAGTTAAGTACGAGGGAACAAGGAGTGGTGGGACTGACTAAGGGATGAGTCTTGTATGGGACTGGCTTAACTACTAGTAAAGCGACTGGGCACACAAGTTGTGGGTACCTCGGGTTGTATTGGGACAAAAAGTGTGGTCTTTGTAATGCATTGGTCCAGTGTGTGTGTGGAACTGGGCGTGACAAGGAGCCCGGCTCGGCGGAAACAGGCATTTCTGCATCGACACAGGCTGCTGCTGGGTACAAAGACATGCATCAAGGATTTCGATGATGCCCGCTGGCCCAGAGCTCAGATGTTGTAGCAACTGGACGAACACCTGGCTGCCGTGCCAACAATCATCCATTGGTCGGACGATGTTCCATTTGGTTCGCATTTGTGAAACTGCAACGCTGCCTAACTGCGGGCACCTGCAAGCACCAGTAAACCATGTGGTCGTTCTGTTCAAGGCTCATCGGCAATCCACGCATCGCTATTTTCTTGTGAAGTTGAGTGCGTTACCCAATCGCGATTCCCCTTGGGCACAACAGTGAAGTGGACTGAGCGGCCGTCATTGTGTGAGGGGCACCCCAGGCTTCCCAGTCCAGCGGGTCTCACAGCCAAACAAGGTATCAGGTGCTCGTCAGCATCAGCATCAGTATCAGGAAATGCACAGAGAGCAGATTCAAACATGGCGAACTGCCTTCAGACCGCGCACCATCGTTCAGCAATCAATCGAAATCAATTCCCACTCACCAACCTCCGCACAAAACAAGCCCCTGCAGCTGCCAGATGCCCCCAACGCAGAGGCCATGCCACTACCAACAAACTAAGGCCCTTCGCAGGTCGTTCGTTCCGCCTCACTCTGCCTACGGAACTGCAAAGCTAACAAGAAATCAGCACTCATAACGAATACGTGCGAACCACACCCGGTGAGCAGCAGAATCACAGGGAACAAGCGGATGTTGGGGCGGAGGGACGAAACACGCCGCAACGACCTGAGCACACAGGCATAGCTCAGGGGACAGCCAGCAGCGGCACGCTGGGGCTGACAGCAGCAGCTCACAGCTCGTTGGAGGGTGCACTGCCCAGGAGAATATCCACAGCAGTGCTGTGACAACAGCCCCATGAGCCACCTATATGAAGCACGAGACATGCAGGTCAGCTGACATTCTGCTCAAGGGGCTGCCACATACGGGTGCAATATGGTGAGCCAAAGAATGCACTCAAAGGCGCCAACTCAGGCTGGGCACCATCATGCAAGCGCACAGCCCACGGTCAGCTGGCCGGCCTGTGCAATTATGTCATCAGTGACAAACTTAGGCTGTTCTCCTTGCTGCCAAACAATGTGGAATAGCATTGCTTTCTGATGAACGTGCTGATTCCTCAACGGCACTTCCAGTTTCTGATGACTACGCATCAACGCCATTTTGTGTCTTGTTTCAGCATTCCAGCAGGTCGAAGAACAGCAATACACTGAAGCCTTCTGTGCCCTGTCAACTCACCCTGCAGCCAACGGTGTCTGAACTGCTGCAACCCTGCCCCATCGTGCTTATTTCAGTTATCCCTCTGCTGCGGCGCCCCAACCAAACAGTAGTAGTTGTGGATGAAAAGGTTGGCCTCTTCCCTTTCAAGGTGTGATCAACACCACACGCCCTATTCAGTCAACAGCATTCGTTCCTCAGCCAGCTCCCATCACCTAGCAGCCATCGCCGCGTCTCCAGCCAGCAAGCAGACACCCCTGGAGAGCCCCAGACAAACAGTGCGGCCCACTTGACAATACGTGGGTGGGCCTAAATTGCCTCACAGCATTCCAAAATGAGGTCAAGGAGCAGCCACGTGTGTAGACACCTAAGTAGATCTTCTCTCTGACACAACCCAACAAACCTGAATCCAACACAACCCCAGACTGGATATCTACAGAACTATCAATGCTAGGTCGGCCACAGCCCTAACGTTGAAAAGAAAAGTCGCCACCACCGCTCCCAGCACGAATTTCTTCAGTACCAGAAACTCGCTGCAGGGTACCCACACCAGTCCGGCTTTCCCTCACATCTCCTACAAATCCCTGGCTACTCGACTGTCTATGCTCAGGAGTCGGCTGATCCATCTGACCTGAGCCTGAGGAGCGGCGGCCTGTGCGCAACCTTGACAGAACTCTGTGGGCCCCAGCTGCATGCTGTTTCGCACATCCATGTGCCTTCTCATGTGACGACTGCTCCCATTGACTGCCTGCCCTGTGCACTTCTGAGTCTACCTGACCTGACCCTCCCTGACCTGCGTCACTGCCGTTGGAAGACCTCTGACGATGCTGAGGATGCAGCCAGTTTCCCTGACCCCCAGCGCCATTCAGCGGCGGTCTCTGCTGCCCACTGCCACAGTCCATAGACCGGCTCTTCCCGTTTCCAACAGACATTCCAGCAGGCCTGCTGAAGCTGTCGCTGTTTGCTCTGTACCTTGAGCGCTGAGCATCTCCACGGCGCCAATGCTGCTGGCCCCGGTGCACCTCTGCCATGGCCCCTGTTGGTCCAACAACCTGGCCCTCCTGGGGAATCCGCATGGGAGACTCATTGCGGAGCACCTCATGCCCATCCATAATGCAATGGGGATCGTCTGGCCCCAATGAGCTGTCACGGGATCCCCAGACATAGCTGCTGTGCTCAGACCCTGCCGTGGGGTGGATAGGGGCAGGCCTGTGCATCTGCGGTCCGTTACGCACCTGTGCCCTCCGTTGTTCCTGCTGCACCCCATCCAGGTGACTTCCCCAGGGAGTCCCAATTTGAGGCCCCCTGGGAGTCCCCGCAGCACTGGAGCACCCCCCTCTCGTTGGAGTTCCAACAAAATTGGGTCCAGCATGGCCTTGAGCTGCCCCCATGGCTGCAGCATAATCCCCAGGAATGCCACCGGATGTATTCATGCATAGCCCTGTGTTAATCTCCGGGCTCCCCATCCAGCTGCAAACCTCTGCGGTGGGGCTCAAACCCGACTGGAAAGAACCGTTTGCAGCGTCCAGTGCCCTGACACTGCTCTCACTAAGCCGAGAGGGTTGTGTCCCAGCAGGCCACCCAGAGGCCTGCAGGGCATGTGGTGCCTGGCCAGGCACATAGGCAGATGTCCTCGGACTGTCCATTGTGCAGGTCAAAAAGGGCAGGCCTTCGTTCGTTGCAAACCGGAAGTGCTGTGGGCCTTGTCCAGATCCCCAGGCATTCTGTGGGCCGCCCAGCACCGCGCCAGATGACCTGCCACGCTTTGGTCGGTTTTTGCTGCCCCCATGATCTGCCCCATTCTCAGCAGCTGCCTGACCATCCACGTGTACGCCTGCGCCTACCTGCTGATTGGCCACATTCTGTGACACCTGCCAAGACGATGTTGGCGATCCGGGGTCTGGCATACCAGCAGGGCAGTACCCAGCTCCTGGGATGGCTAACGGAATGCCGATGCGTGGATGATACGGCACGTGGCCATGCTGATCGACATCCCAGTCAAGGGCGCCCTCTCTCCCAGGTGAATGAAGGAACTCAATATCGCTGCAGGAACAAACACACACGGTCACACTCTGGCAACCATTTGCTACGACTTGCAAGGAGAGAGATTCTAAAACAACACAGTGCCCCCAGCCCATCCGCTTGACACAACTGAGCACTCCAAGTGCAGAACATTGTTATGTAACCACTGCAATACTGGCAGATGGTGCTGGGGATAGAATTGGGAATAGCTTGTCACCTGTAATTGGGATCCCAGTCCCCTGGGCTAGGACTGTACTCTTCCACTGTTGTGCCATCATCTTCATCATATATCCTGGAGGTTGGACATTCGCCACCATCCCACTCCCCGCTGTCTTCCCCAAGCTTGATACCCATCTTCAGCTCCACCCAAGAGCTTGTCTGCGCACTGTCAACAGCCAAAGGAGAGACTTCCCCACTTGGCTGGTGGCTGGCTGACTGGCCAGGCACAGTTTCCACTGTGTCAAATCTGCAGTTGGCATCCGGCAACCGAAAGCCCACCACTCTAGGACTGAAGTCTGGCAACAGCCCGAGAGGGGCTGGATGCGGAGGAGGTTTGTCCACAGAAGGGTCAGCAATCATTGGCCCCAGCCCCGTCAGAGAGCCCAATTGCTGTCTCACAGATTCCTCTGCAGCAGCTGCTGCTGCCCCAGCCACCGCTGCGATTCTGTCTAGATACATGGGGCTCATTTGGCTGTTCGGCATGGACTGCGCATATGGTGCAGTCCCGAATGTCCGTGGACTCAGACCGTGGCCTGTCAGGATGCTGCTCAGCTGCCTTGGGGGCAGGCAAGGCAGCACGGGGGGCCGCGCAGCTGGCTCTGCTCGACCCTGCTGCATTGCACCATTGGTTGCCTCTGCACCCTTTGTGCCGGTCGCAGGTTGGGGCTGCAAGGTTGACGACAGCAGTGCGTCATCGGGTGTTCCTGTCAACATTCCAAGGCCGCCAGGCACATTGTTGGAGCCGAAGTGGGGACTCATCTGCGGACTCAGCTGCTGCACAGTGGCCATGGCTATGGCATGAGCCTGTGCATGGGCCTGGGCATGGGCAGGAGATGGAAAGTAGCCTGCTGTTGCAGAATGAGCCTGAAAGGCATCTGCATGCCAGCTGTAGGAGTGGCCTCGCGCCGCTCTTGGGTCCTGGATGCCCACAGGATGGGTGTGCGACCTTGAATCTGGTGCTGGTGGAGGTTGGAAGGGCCCTGTGAAGCGGTCGCCAGATATGAAGGGATGCAAAGCAGCCTGATGGGGTGTCCAGCGTGCATGTGCATCCACCTCCAGAATGCCCAAGAGAAAGTCCACGAAACATTTCCTGCAATCCTGCTCCTCCTGCACCTCTTTATCGCTGATCCCTGATTTCATGGGGTATGCGCCGATGATATCCGCCAGCTTTGCATGCATGAAATACCGCTTGCCAGATGGGCTCTTGGCATTGTTCCTTGCTTCAAACTCCTCCTCTGACAGCAACTCGTGCTGCATCTTCTTACGCCCGTCCACAACCACTTCTGTTTCCTTGAAGTACGTCTTGCAGTGCTTTGCCACTCTCAATATCGATTCGGGTGGTGGGCCCAGCATCTCATACAGCCGTGCCAATAGGTCCCTCTCTGAGGCTGCGGGAAACAGTGGCAAGCCCAGAAACAGCTCAGCCGCGACGCAGCCCAGAGACCACATGTCAATGGCGGTGGTGTAGGGGTATCCTAGCACGACCTGCGGGTACAGCAGCACACAAGGCCCATGACCATGGTGAAAAGCTGAGCAGTGCCGCTGTCCATCACATAAGAACAAGAAGAATCCAATGGCGTCTAAAAACACTGCGCGAAGAACAGGAGAGGGGCCCTGTCGCTTCGCACGAGGACTTCCCCGGCCCGCGCGACCCAGTGCCGGCAGCCGCAGTCGTACCTCTGGCGATCGGTAGAAGCGGCTCTGAATGTACGAGTACACCGTCTTGTGCTCCAGGCACGCGGACCCGAAGTCGATGATTTTGATCCTGCCGGACGTCTGGTCCCTCAGCAGCACGTTCTCGGGCTTCAGGTCGCAGTGGATGATCCTCTCGTCCCTGAGCATCGCGAGGCAGTCCAGCATCTGGGGCACCAACAACAGCACCGGCACGTGAGCCCGCGGGGACGCACGGGGCCAGGCGGCGGGCGGCGGGCGGCGCGAAGGGGGCGCGGAGCGAGGGCCCACCTGCTTGAGAAAGAATCGCACCAGCTGCAGCGACAGCCCCCGGTAGCCATTCCGCTTGAGCAGCTCGTACAGGTTGGTGTCCAGCAGCTCGAAGACCAGGCACAGGTGGTCGCGGAAGCGGAAAAAGTCGAGCAGCCGCACGATGTTGTGGCGCTCGGTGTCGTAGCGCTCGTTCAGCAGCCGCAGGATGCCCACCTCCACCCGCGCCTGGTGGTAATATGCTTCCTGGTTCTTTATCACCTTGACGGCGACCAGGCCCTGCGTCTCCTGCGACCAGCACTTCACCACCTGCCCGAAGGTCCCCTGGCCGACGGCGTCCATGACATGGTACCTGCCGGAGCGCAGCGCGACATGGCACCAATCAGCACGGGGCGCCACCGCGCTGCCTCTCGGCAGCGCGAGGCAGCACGAGGCAGCGGGGTGGGGGTGGGGTGGGGGGGAGATCGTCCCGCAATCACAGCTTGGGAGCATCGGGGCCCCACCTGCGGCCGCTCTCCTCGCTCACGAGCACGTCGTTCACGTGCATTATTAGGTCCGAGTTCACATTGTCGAAACCGCTGTTCTTCACCCCCTCGGCTGGCTTGGTCAGGGCGCGCTCCCCGCCACCGCTGGGCCCCGGGAACGACGCGTAGATCCCCTGGACACCAGATTCGGGCTGCATCAGCGCGCCGGCGCTCAAAGGGAGCGACCCGTCGGGCGACCAGGGGTGCGCGGGGATGCAGGGGCCGATCAATTGCACCTCTGAAGTTGTCATGGGCCACCGCGGGGCTGGCACCCCGTGCCCCCCGTCAGGCACGCGCGGCGGCGACCACGCTCCCAGCCGCTGGCGACGCCTTGGAGGCAGGGGGAAGCGGGAGCCCCAGGCCCTGCGCGGGAGCGGGGTTCATGCGCCCCAGCGGCGCGGGGGGTGGGGGGGGTCCGGTGAGGGCTGGGGCTGGAGGACGCAGTGGTGCCCTGGCCAAATTTGTGGGGCAAGTTAAACGCATCAAGCGGCGGGGATTGCATGGTAATGACGCCCCGGTTTTGCGCGCCAATCCGGCAGACGGAAGGCGACGAATCGCAGCGTGGGTAGGGGTGGAGAAGGTCCCGGCTTTGCGCCCTAGGAGCCGCAAGATACTTGGCCACGAGGGAACGCACTGTGTCGACTCTGACGCTTCGTGCCAACTTGACGCCAAGCTCAAAACCCACCCCACCCACCCCAAATCTCATTGTGCACACATACACACGCCATGAGCTTCACTGCGGTTTTGGTTCTGTTCTACTAACTGCAATGCCCCGTGCTCTGCAGGCTCTGCAATCAAGGGTTACAGGCATCTGTATCGACCATCGCCGATGATCTCACTGTTGGGATGGCCCAAGTATGTTGCCAATGCGTTCGTATAAGAAAGGGATCTACTGCATTGAAGGAGACCACAAATCCCCGCATGTGGATGCATGCGAACTGCCATGCCCAAAGATAGGGCGGGGTGGAAGCCACAGCGCTGGCTGCTGGTGCCTTCCTCATGCAGGTGGTGACTATGGAGATGCTGGCGCCACTCCCCCTGCATGGCCAAACACAGCCAACCATTGTGGGGCAGGTTTGAGTGCCCTTGCTCCACATGCAGGCACAACTGCTGGTGCTCACTTGCTCTCACGTGTGCCCACACATAGTAGCAAGCGCTTGCCAACCCAATAAGCGATTGGGCCCAGCACTTGTGGCACTGGGTCTCAGTGATCGCTTGCAGTGTTTGCCCAATCATGGCATTGGGCGCTGGCACATCTATTGCTGCTGTTAGGGGATAAAGGCGCTGGCGGTCCACAGCGCCCACCTTGCCCAATGCCTCACCAGTCCCTGCTGAGGCGCCGCTAATCCTTTCTGCATACACTCCTTCATGCACCTTCCCATCAGGGGCAGAGAGTTCGGACAGAAAGAAATGAATACTGACCAAACATAAAGTGCTAAGGATGGAAAGCGAAGCCAGTGCGTGACAATACTGTAACAAAGGAAACAGGTGGCACTTGAAAAATACCGGGAACGAAACATATGGACAAACGGGAATCCAAAGAATTGTGTGAAAAATAGGGGACTGCAAGCTGAATGGCTGCCTCTACTCGGAACGATTTTGCAGTCTTGCAGTTCCAGAGCCGAGTCAATTGCATCCATGCACACACATTCAGCAGCTGTTGTTATTTCGGGCAATGAAGCCCGAATTCCAAACCCAAATGGGTATGTTGCACCTCCTCTGATGGCAGCAGGTTCCCATTTTCAGTTGAAGTCAACCCTTTTCGCGTGCAAGTAGGTTCCCAAACAAGTAAGGTTATCAATATGGAGAAACTCTGGCGTTAGTTTGTGGTGTTCTCAACATTCTGCTCAATCCTGAATCTTCAGACTGTGCATCAAGCCGCCACAAGCAGATCCTCCCATCTTCAGCACCACTGATGCAAATCCTCTGGTCAAAGTCTACCACATCAATGCAACGCACGATCGAAGAGTGCCCTCCAGCAAAAATGGTTGAGGAGGGCTCAAAAATGCAACCATCAGGCCCTGGTTCCCGCACTGGAAAAGTAGTCACTGTCCCACCATTGCTGCCAGCAAAGAGGGACAAGTGGCCGCCAGGAGTGCAGTGGCAACCAATCAGATAATCAATCTGTGCAGAAGAAGCACATGTGGGTGAGCCTGTGTTCAAGTATCAATCACCTCAAAAGGCCAACTTCTCAAACTAGATAAAGCTTCCTTACGAATGGAAACTGCAGAAATGTTTCAAGAAAGCTCCATGTTGGATCCAACACAGATAAGCATCGGGTGTGTGCATCAACAATGACACTGAGTGCATTTCTGTGCACCCCCGCTCACCTGCGCCAGAGGCACTGCCTGCAATGCTGTCCTCGCATCATGCAATGCAGCGATCAGCCCACCCCCGTCAGCCTCCATGTCGTCCTTCACAGCCGCCTCCCAGTCCCACAAAACAAAGCCTTCACCACATGAGCGGGACCACAATTGGCCGCCACCCATTCCATAAAACCCAAACTCAGCAATGGCTGCCAGGTTTTGAGCTGCCTGTGCAGCAGCAAAATGCATGAATCAAGGAGCACACTTGCCAAATGGTGTAGCCATAGGTGCGGGTCACCACAGCCCTTGAAAAGTGCACCGTTCACTTCCACTGGAAACCAGGACCACAGCATGACTAATGACAATGCCATGGTGCTTGCGGCTACACAATACCTGCGACAAACATGTCCTCTGCCTCTCAAACGACCAATGGCAGCCAGTCACACTTAGACGGCTTTGATAAAGCCATCTCTTTATCAAGAGAGCCATGGTGCAGTTCGAATCCTGACATACAGTTCAGAATGGAAAAGTCTGCAACAACGTCACAACCATCTGAGCATCAAGCAGGCAGGCAGCTGGCAGAGCATCATTTGCCATGCACCAGCAAAAGTGAATGCGAAAGGCATGGTCTTGTGTGCATGTGCTTCCACACCTGAAAACCATCGTCCTCAGAAAGTCCATTGGCAAGGTCAAACACACAAAGCAATCCATCTTCAGATGCTGTAAAGAACTTGTGCGCATGGCTGGCATGAAACTGAACCTATAGAGCACAGAAAACAAAATCCAAGTTGTGCAGGCAACCAGAGTGCACCAAGGAACAAAAATTTAGGTGCTGGAGAGCTGTTGGCAGGCTTTTCAAGATACTGGAATGGGCAGTGCGACCTTGTGGCTGATCCTCAGGAGGAAATCCGCGTGCCACAACACACTATGACGAGGGGAACAGTACGCTGGAGAATGAGCCCGTGATGGCAGTCACAATAAGATCCCACTTTGTGGGCACGTGTTGATGCTGACAAAACCATTGCCTCATTTTGTGTGCACACGTGTCTCAGAATCCAACATTTCCCGACTTGCACATATGGCTGAATGACCACCTGTCGTTATGGGACAAAGAGGAGAATGTTGCTAGCATCCAACGCAGGGAATCGGTGAAGAACGTGGGGACAATCGAGCCTTGTCTTTGACTTTCATTTCCGCAGACGGAGGCACTCTAGAACAGGGCAGTTCCCATCGGTTGGCATCATTCACAAACCTGGGTAACAGTTGTGGCATGCGTGTCTTCAAATTTGGCCAAAAACTTGCCAGGATTCCGATTGTCCCAAAAGTGCACATTTCCTTCCTCTCCTCCTGCTGCCACGAGCGGACCACATGCACTCACACAAGTGAGTTCCTCGCCCATGACGCAATACCTACCCCACACAGACAAGGTCGATTATTCTGTCCCCACAACATTTGTTTGGAGATGGACGCAAATGGTGTCCAGAAATGTTGATTGTCAACAGTGGGCATCAGCAGCAGACTCCCAGAAGGGCTGAAAAGGAACGAAAAGCTGCTGATACAGAACACCGCTCCGGGATGACCTGCAACATGCCTGATAAATGCAGCGTCTATAGGTTTCGCCATTTCCGCGCATTCATCGGCGAGTTGCGCTGCACCGCACTGGATCAGTTACCAAACCCAATGTCCTCATTCGCGCACTGCCCTCGCGTCCATGAAGCAGCCGGGCCTCACGTCCGGCACCATCAAAATTCACGGCGCCGTATCCCGACATAAGCGAAATTCTTTCTCTTTGGCGCAGAGCAACAGTCCCGCACACAGGCAGGCCTCGCGGCCAGGCCCTACACGTGGTTCCCCCCCTTGAAAAAACAATCAGCCATCTCACAAAGAAAGCCTGCGATCCACGCATTGCGCCCCCGGCGCCCCACCTCTGCTCCTCCTTTCCCGTCCTCATGTCCCACGCCCTGACCGTCCCGTCCGCCGCGCACGAATGCAGCGGCGCCACGGCCCCGGGCACCCGAAAGCAGATCCCCGCGACCGCGGCGCCGTGCCCGTGCATGTCGGTCAGGTGCGCCAGCCGCCCGTCTCCGATCCCGAACACCTTGATGCACCCGTCCGAAAGCGCCACCGCCGCGATGGCGGCATCCCCGCAGCAGGCCGCGTGCAACACGTAGCGCTCCTCGCCGCCATCCAGCTGGCCACACAGCGCGGAGCTGTGCACAACGGGGCGGCAAACCCCACCAGCCGTCGACGGCTCCCACTCCATGCCCGGCCCCAGCCCCAGCCGCCGCACGCAGGCCCAGTTGCCGCACTGCCACCCCGCTGAGGCGCATTCCAGCCAGCTTCAGCCTCCCCACGTGGCTGATGACTGTACACCCGCAGCAGCCCGCTGTGCCCTTAACCCGAAATTGGCCAAGGGGCCAAGCGTGTTGGCTCCCCCTATTCGCCCCGCCGGTTGCGCGAATTGGTTTACGGACGGGTCCGGCCGTTCGGTGGCGGGGGAGGCATGTCAGCGCCGGCGGCTTTCCTGGCCGTGCACTGCAAGCGCGCGGAGCACTGCGACCTGAAGGACCCCATCCTGAAATACGTGAAGAATGTGTATGGAGCCCAGCAGGCGGATGATGCGGCGTCCGACCTGGACGAGGTGCAGACGATGCGGAACGAGGTGCTGGCGCTGAGCACCGGCGGGCCGAGCGACACGGCGCGGGACACGCTGTGCAGGTTTGTTGGCGCGGCGCTTGGCCGCATCATTGTGACGGGATTTGATTTGAGGGATGCGCCTCACGGTGTTGCGCTACTGGGTTGATTTGTTGTTGGGGAGGGGGTCTGGGATTGCGCTGAATGGCCGTTGCGGCGCCCAGGTACTTTCGGGCACTGTCGGTGATGGAGACGCGCTTCCCGATCAGCAAGGACCGCGACCACGCGCAGGTGGTGTTCACGTGGATGGAGGCGCTGCAGCCCAGGAAGAAAACGCGGCAGCCCAACATCCATTTCGAGAAGGCCGCCGTGCTGTTCAACTTCGGCGCGGTGCTGTCGCAGCAAGCCACCGTCAAGGACAAGACAACCGCCGAGGGCTGCAAGGAGGCGTGCACAATGTTCCAGGTCTGTCATTGCTGGCCCTGGATCTCTGCACAAACGGCAGACGGGGCCCTGGGACGGCGCCCATGCGCGCCATGATCCATGTTCATAATGAGCCTGGTGAAATTGCACCGCTGGCTGCCTGTTGTAAGTCATTTTCATATTTGGGTTGTCAGGAAGCTGCCGGGGTCTTCCTGAAGGTGAAGGACGTGGCTCTGAAGGTGAGTGGCGATGCGAAGATTCTGGTGCCTTAGCAGCTGGGCTGTTGTGCCTGCCAACCACAGATGCAATGGGAACCTGCACTGAGCAAGAATCTCGTTGCTCGAGGAGCCTGCTGTGCCCTGCTCGGCATCAAATGCGATTTGTTGTCATCCCAAGAATTCAAAAACTGGGCAACGGGACATGGTTGGGCGATCCCTTTCTAGGGTCCAGCGCTTTGAGGTTGTGAGGTTGAGGGTGCCAGGTCTTAGGCATGGGACGCGATCCACTTCCCCCTGTATTGGCAGCAGGATTATTGCATGTCTGCCGCTGTGCTTTTGCAAAGGCATTGCTGCCTTTTCCCCCTACATGCCCGATGTGGTGCACCATGCTCAGCAGTGCTTCCTGTTGCTGACATTCAGATAGGCACACCTCGCGCCATTGACCTCAGCCCTGAAAGCCTGACTTTGCTGGAGAAAATCATGCTGGCACAAGCACAGGAATGCGTGTTCTTAAAGGCGCACAAGGACAAGAAGACGGCCATGGTGCTGGCAAGGGTAGCAAAGCAGACATCTGTGATGTATGCTGAAGCGCTCACCATGTTTTCACAGCCAGTCTTGAAGGACTACTTTGAGAAGCCCTGGCTGGTGAGTGTGAGATATCTTGAGGAACTGGAGTTCATACGATTTATCTTCACAGCAAGCTGCCGATGGACTTTGTGCAGGGAGTGGCGTTGGATCACTGTGTACTGTGTGCTCTTAGATGTTCTCTGTGTACTCTGTGTACTCAGCACACCTGGATCGGCTGTTGGAGGTTGTTGATGTGGTTGATACTATGTCATGCAGGCACATGTGCAGCTAAAGAGCTGGCTGTATGACGGTGTGTGCCAGCAGCAGGCTGCGCAACAAGCTGCTGTTGCTGAGGACATCGCAATAGAAATATCACGTCTGAGGCAGGCATCTGCCCTACTGTACAGGGTCCGAAAAGACTCCAAGAACATGAGCCATGACGTTCAGGAAAGTGTCAGGTCAACAGAGGACGCTGTGAACACAAGGCTGTCAAGGGCAGAGAAGGTATCGAACAAGAAAACCAGTCCAGTGGTGCTGCTGTACTTGTCCACTGTGGCAGCAGTGTGCTCTGACTGCATGCTGTTTGTCTGCTCAGGACAATGCCTCAGTGTACCTTGTGAAGGTTCCCCAGTTCTCTGAGTTACCACCTGTCGATGGAGCCATCCTGGTGAAGTCATGTCCTCCTGCCAAGTTGGATGCATCAAAGGAGCACTTGTTCTCTTCACTGGTGCCAGAGTCAAGGTCAGCAGTGCCCACCTGCCAGATTTTTGTTGCCATGGTGTTTTCGCATTTATGAAGTATTGCTGTGTTGCATTGTCCTCTTGGATTGCAAGTCCAATCGCTCCTGCACAAGCCATGAGAATGCGCAGTTGGCTGTGAGCTCTGCTGCTCTTGTCCTGTGCTGTGCTCATCATCAGCTGTGCTTGTCTTTTGTTGTGCAACAAAACGTATCTTGGCCCCAAGTGCTGGTGCAGGAGCTGAGACTTGAGGAACATACAATGGGCATTATCATGCAAGGTGCAAAAGAACTATAGTGTGCTTCATATCATCGTTGGCGCATAGGAGCCTTGCACAGTTTGAAGTGCATTGGGCTGCTTGTGGAGGCTCAGAGGCCGCAGTTGTGGTTCCTCGTTGTTGTCACTGCTGTCCCTGGTGTTGGCAGTGCCAAGGCGTTGTCACGCTATTCGGAGCTTGTTGATGAGGTCATTCGCCAGGAGATGGACAAGCTAGAGAGCGCCACAGATGAGGCACGAATGAAACTGATCGAATGGGAATTGCCTGCTCTGCTGGATGCCATTGACAGCACCAGGGCAGCTCCTCTGCCAGAAGGGTTGCAACAGGAGCTGGAGGAGGTGGAGCGAGCGAATGGCGTCACATACCTGAAGGAGGTAAAGCCATGCTTCAATGTTACCACCGTTCCCTGTATTTGAGGGCTTTTGCATCTATCTCTGAGTACCTTGATGATCCAAGGATAAAAAATGTAAACTTGAGTGGCAGTTTGTTTGCTAACGCTGCCCTTTTGAACAGAAAAGATAGAACAACTGTGATTGAAGCCCTTGTGTTTTCAGATTACAGAGCAAATTGCAGCTCTGTGCAAGACTGGCTGCGAAGATCTGGACAAGTGTGAGGCTGACCTGGATGAGGAAGCAAAGAAAGATACAGAGATGAGGGCGCAATATGGTGACAAGTGGAAACCTCCCGCATCGTCATCCTTGACTGTTCACTTCCGGCAACTGATATCGTCATACAGGTGTGTTTAACTAATTTTGTTTTTCAGCTTGTTCCTCTCGCTGCCACTTCTCCATTGGGACTTTGGCCACAGAACAGCTGATGTCTTGTGGCAAACCAGTCAGTGCAAGCACCAGAAGCCATGACCTGCTGCTTTGTGTGTTTGTCAAAGCCATTCACAGCCAGCTGCCAGCTTGTTGTGCTGTCTTTGAGGCGATTTAGCCCTTCCTTGCTTTGCATTCTCTGCTTGTTGGTGATTTGACAGTGAACAACTATGGGTCCCATGTCGGATGCCCAGTGCTGGAAGTGTTTTGCTCAATTCCTTCTGCCATGCAATCCAGACTCCTCCTGTTTGTGTTCCATCATCCTGGAAGTTGTGATCTTCTGCAGGGCTTGACCAGCTGTTTGTGAACACCTGCACCGTACTGCCCTGATGCGGAGGGCATCAGGCTATTTAGGCAGGCTATTTATTCTTACTTGTTCTCAGCCCCGCTTCATTCTGTGGTTGATACTAAATCACCTCATCACTAGTGTGCTTGTAAGGAAGCTGACGGTCTCGCTCTCAGGAACAATCTGTCCGCAGCCAGCGACAGTGATAAAGTTGTACTGGACAAGCTGGCCACGAACGAGGCAGCCTTTGCGGACCTCACTGTCCATGCAGCAGCAGCGCAGATGCCAAAGCTGCAAGCACCCATGGTGAACATGGCAAGTGCAGATCCTGCTACCATTGTGGCGAACCTGAGAAGTAAGTGACTCTCAAGGTGGAACTTTGCAGTGCTTGCAAGACAAGGCTAACCTGCTGGTGCTGATAGTTGGGCTCCTTGGAAATGATGGCACTTGCTGCTTTCTAGATAGCTAGCACTGCATTTGGCATATGCACCAAGGAAACACTGCAAAATAGTGCAATTGCTTTGTCAGCTTTTGTCCAAAGAGAAGAAAGAGCGTGTATTCTTGCAGCCAGGTTGCAAATTATTGGAACAAACTCAGAAGATTGTCCATAGTATGCCACATTCCGATGAGGATGATGGACAGCTGCACGGCTGTGCATCCTTCTGAGGTGCTGTGCTCTGTGATTGCCTGCCACATAGTGCAGAGGTAGTGACATCGCTTCCTGTAGATGGCTCCAAACAGATATATGCTCAGCTGTAGAAGACAGATCATGACAAGCTGCTCGGCTGATGTCCTATGATTCGGAGTATAGTTCCTCCATGCTATTCCATAGGAGTATCTCTTACGATCACTGGGCACATTTTGTGTTCTTGTAATGCGGATCCTTCGTTCCTTCGTTCGATGCCTCTGATATCGTGTTCCGCCATTTGGTTGCACAGAATGCCTTGATCAGCTGAACAGTGTTTCAGCTGAAAGGGCTGGCCTTGAGGATGCTCTGAAGGAGAGGAAAACAAGGGACAACATTCTTCCAAAGCTGATGGCCTCAACCGGATCCCATGAGGACATGTTTCATGCAGAACTAAAGAAATACGATGACCTGAAGGTGGATGTGAAGGACAACCTGGAGAAGCAGACTCAGCTTTTGACGTACATTGGCTCAGCAAGTGCATCATTCAGGGAGGCATTCAGCGTGCAGGAGTGGAGGAGTGGCTGTGAGAATACAGCAAAGGACATCAAAGCAAAGGTTAGCGGATTTTTCATCTGTCCTTATTGACACTCGCTGACTCAACGCTCATTGCATGCAGCTTGAAAGAATGGCTTTTGGACAGACTTGCAAGAACAGCCCTTAGCTGCGGCAGTTGCCTCTGCGGGCAATTGTGGGCTGTGCACGCATTGGCATTGCTGCTTTGTTGGACCAGCATTCGCACTGCACATTGGCAACAATGGTGCTGAAGCGCAGCTTGGTGATGCAAATCCTGAGGATTCCTGTCCCTTGGCAGATCCGTCTGTTTTACGAAGTGCGTGACAACCTTGGGGAGGGCATGCGGTTCTACATGTCCTTGCAGGACGCTGTCAGAACATTGCTTCAGCAGACAAGTGACTTCTGCATGACCAGGAGGATACAGAGAGATGAGCATTTGCAGGTGGGCTGCAGGGCTATTGCAGCAGTCGAGTGGTCACTCCATGCCCATGGTCGTTTAAGCTGGTGGAATGTTAGTGACAGGACAGGTGCTGCTGCGATTCATGGGAAACAGGGGCCCGTGTTATTACACTGTGTGTCCCAATATGTCCTCCCTAGTATTTTTCCCAAGTGCAGCACAGATTGTGATTGTTGCAAGCAGGCAGGTAGCTGCCTGTGTTCTTGTTACCAGCGAAAATGGTTGAGCTCTGTGGGCCTAGTGGGTGCATGGTTAGGGTGTCCAAGCCTTGCAACTTGTGTTTCCAATTTTGTCTGACCCCAGCCTATGCACGTTTTTTCTAATAAGCTATGTAACCCAAGAAATGCAATTTGGACTGAGCGGCATTCAGGAGGTTTGATTCGAGGTCTGCTCCTTCTTGGGAACACACCTGCACAACGGCACACTATGTGATGGGTTGACTCCGCTCTCTGCTTTCTTCACGCCAAGATCGTTTTCCCCAGCGAGTGGGTCACTTGTAGTTCAGCACCTGCCCGTGTCAAATTCTTGGAGCTATCCTGTCAGCAATGGTTCGGAAGATGGCTGACCCAGTGCTGAACCATTCCTGTTTTGTGCAAACTTAGTTGCAACAGAGCAGTGAAGTGCATTGCCAAGGCAGGTGTGGCTTTCAGCGTATCTACCACTGAATTTGCTATGGTCGCATTGAAGCCACGTGTCCAAGCTTGCTCATGCCCAGAATAGCAGCAAGAAAAGTCCAGCCTGTGGTGACGTGTAGTGTTTTGGTGTTGGGTGCTTGTGCAGCTAATTGTGTACCTGTCAATTTTGCCAGAGAACTCTCCAACTTCATAACGGCAGTGAATGCGAGCACCGGTGGCGATGCACCGCTCCCAAACCCTTTGACAGTGAAAGGCTCGGCTCCTCCGTCGCTGACTGCCGATAATACTGTGTTGTGCACAGGGTATAAGGGACCAGATGCTCCCGCCACCGCCACCACCCAGTGCTGTTGCAGAGCAGCTGCCACAACAAGTGCAGAGCATGGCCCTGCAGGACACCCAGCCCCCGGCACTCCAACAGCCAGCGGAAGCCCATGCACAGTACCAACCACAGCAGCCACAGCTGCAACAACCGCCACACCTGCAGCAGCCGCCACACCTGCAACAGCCACAGCTGCAGGCACAGCCGCCACAGGCATACCAGGTTCAGCAGCCGGGCTTCTCCCAGTACCCACCCCACCAGTACATGCCACCTGCACAACCTGTCCAACCTCCATATGGATGGCCTGGGGCGCAGGCGGGGGCTGGCATGGCACAGCCTGGCAACATGGCCCCTGCAGCCCCTCAGTACTACCAATACCCGCAGTATTACCAGCAGCCTCCTCCCCACGGAATGTATGGTGGCCAACCTGGAGGTCCTCCTCCTGTGCCTCAGCAGTGGCCTCCACAGCAGGGCCAAGACCCAGGCCACCAGACACAAGCTAACCCCCTGCATCGACCATCACAATAGGCACCTGTTGCTGGATGCAAAGGCCAATGTCAGGTGGACATTGCAATGTGGGGATGCTTTGTATGTGTGAGTCTCAGTCAGTGGGATGGGGGTGTAGTGGAAGCAATGGACAAAGGGCGTGGGCGCCATTTGCACCCTTGCATGTATTCTTTTGGATTGGTTATGCACTGCTTCATTGTGCCTGGAGCAGGCGAAAGACTACTGGGATCGGTAGATGGTTGGCAGGCCACATCGTTGGCATCACAAGTGCCTGCAAGGAAGTTGGAACAGTGGGCATATCACGGGAGTGTTGATTTCTGCAGGTCCCAGTTTAGCCTCTTGGCAGGTGATGGATGTCGTTGTGTGCATGGTGCTCTGCTGTGGTGGTGGTCGTGTTGTCCACGGGCGTGGATGCGGCAAGAGATGTGGGAGGTGGGACAGCCCAGCCTCGCCCCTTGCTTTTGTTCGTTAGTGTAACGTCATATACCAGCTTGGATCTTTTTGTTGTGTCCGTGAACTGGGATTCAACGCAAAGCAGACAGGGCTGAAAACGTCAGATTAACGCGCTCTGACATTTGCCCTGGCAAAGAGTGGTGGCGCAAGGGATAGGCATCCAGAAGACTGCGAACAGAAATGATGTCAGAATTTGCTGTTTAAGAACCAAAGTGAAAATAATGAAGATGCAGTGAATGCCCTGCGAGCAAGGAGCAACTGGCGTCAATTTCCCAAATGTGCTTGAGTCGTTGGTGTGCTTCTTGGGTGTCTTGAATTCTGCTGCAAGGCAGTTGGGGCTCGGGGTCCTTATCTTCACTTGTTCCGCAACTTACAGTACAGAATAGCCCAGATCAGGGTGCCATGCAAGCCACAAGCGAAATTTTGATGCTCCTGTGCTGGGTAAATGACAGATAGCAACCAAATGAACAGCTTGTGTGCGCTTCTTTGCATCACAGCCTGAAAACGTAATTGTGATTGCATTATCCAGCGGCTGCCGTGGGTGGGAAGGTCCAAAACCAGCGCAGAGGATGGGCCTTCGGCACAATGTTATGCACATTTGGTCACCAACATTGAACAATAGCCACTGGGCTGCACACCGGTCGAGCTGATTTCCTTCTTGCATTGCCTGGGTGCTGGATCGTTCCTTGGTTAACTCAGTTGGCGGGCCATTTTGTTGCCACGCATCTTCTGCACATTCAGGTTGCTCATTGTCTCCCTTTCATGTTCCCTGCTTGGTGATCCCAAAGCCTTGCTGCCTTTTCTTTGTGTGTTCATGAGTTTGGTCTATTTCATGCCGTCAGTTCGCGCGATGTCCCGCTTGCCCCCACTCCTAGAGGTAATACGCCCCTTCCAAGGCCTTACGGGTGGGGCTCGTCGTTCCACATTCCCACGCAGATGGCAGCGCGCACAGAAAAGTCTGTCTCTCCCACAACATCCCAGGCTCGGTGCTGTTCCGTTTGAGGGCCACCAGGGAAGAGAGCAGCCTCAGCAGGGTGGCAACCAGGAATCTCTCGTCAGGCACGCGCGTGCACAGTCAGTAGCACAACGATCGCAGCCCTTCCCGGGGCTGTCCCAGCGCGATGCCATCAACAACATGCACTACCACACAATTCTCAGCGCCCCTGCACCTCTCAACTACTCAAGATTCTCTCTTGCGTCACAACTGAAGCACCCACACCCCCTGAAACCACGCTTTGGCACCCAGCACCCTGGGGCCCGGGCGCCTTTGCGCAGGCAACGGATGGACGAACAAACAGATCCGGATGTCCAAAAAACGCATTTCCCCGGCCCTTCTTTTTTTTCCAACGTTGGAGCATTTATGACCGGTCGAACGGACGGACACAACCTGTCATCGCCATCGGACATTTTCACATGGCGAGGCAAGGGGGTAGCCGTCAGCTTCATATTTTGTTCGAGCAAAGCAGTGTCCAGGATCAGTTCATGGAAGTCTGATGTATAAAGACCACCAGTCACGGGCGCGAATTTATGCAAAGAACTCATGAAGATGACAGTGAATTCATCATCATCATTTTTACAGAACAAGGCAATGTGGTATAGCCGTCAGTTTCAAATTTTACCCGAGCAAAGCCGCGTCTCCGATCAGTTCTTTGAATCTAAAGCTAAACACAAACAAAGTCTATGAATCTAGTAACTTCTAATGCCTAGAAGAGATTGTAGATGGCGATACATCAAAAGAAGTGTTCTCGCCAGTCGGCGAGCAGGAACCGAAGCAAAAAATGTTTTGCATTGCGACATCGAAAAAGGCAAGAGTGGCTTCGAAGGATGTTATCATAGTCCTGGCAGCGGAAAGGAAAATGTACCTCGTCTTCTGGAGCCACTTGACATAAAGGACATAATAGCCTTGAAAATTTCTGGAACAGATTGTCATGGTAGGTGTCGCTGTTGCTCAACCTCCAGAAAGTGCACCCCACAAAGAATCGCAGGAAAAAGTCCTCATGGAGATAGGCTGTAACGACGACAGGAATCGTTCTTATCGGTAGACTGGCTTGTTGTGTCCGTACCGTGGCTGAATCCTTGAAGATTGGTTGGAGAAGACGCTGGCAATGTGAACATGTCTGTAGAACCATTGAAAAGATGGTGAACTCACATGGCCATCTGGCGAGTCGATGGAAATAATATTACTGCCTGCACCAAATCGGTGACTGCTTGCACCAAGTCACGTGCACACTTTGTCCTAACCTCAGTTTTAGGGTTAGGTTTAGTTCAGGGTGAGTTTTAGGGTTAGGGTTAGGGTTAGGACAGGTTTAGTTTTAGGTTTTAGGGTTTAGTTTTTAGGTTAGGTTAGTTTTGACGGAGTTGGACATGATGTGCACGTGACTTGGTGCAAGCAGTCACCGTTTTCGTGCAAGCAGTCACCGATTTGATGCAGGGAGTAATTTTATGCCGAGTCGATGGGGGCAAATGATCCCGTTGAGCACGCGTCTGATAAAGCCCCTGTGGCTGCACGTGGGGCACTCACGGACGCAGAGTCGGTCCCACCCCCGAGCACCCATGTCGGCCATGTGGGCAAGGGCCCCCCGGCCCAGGCAGCCCCTCTCCCCCATCAAGCGGGGCCCATCATCCCCCTTGTGCACGAGGGCCAAGGCCGTCGAGGCCCCGAACACACAACCAGCGGCTGGGGGCGGAAAGGGGAGGCTGCCGTCGGAAGGCTGCCTCCTTTCCGACGGGCGGCTCCTGCGGGGCGGCCGCAAGCACGCTCGGGGGGTGGCTGGCAAAGGCAGACGATTGAATCCATTCGGAAGTCCCTGTGAGGCGGCCCGCCACCTCGGGTGTGGACCTCCTCGCCCGCCCGTGTCGAGAGTGTCCGTGGGCGGAGGAATTTGGTACAGCGCTTTCCAGGAGGCCGGCAAGCTGGACGTCGCGGCTGCCGTTTCTCCGCGGGGATGGCGCAGTGGATTCGACGTGAGTGTTGCGTGCGCGTCAGCCGGGGGGACATGTCCTGTCACGTGGCGTTTGCAGCTTGCAGCACGTGGCTGGTGTGCCCGCTGCAACTGCGTTTGATGCGCCTCTTTCTTGCCGGCGCTCTCAGGTTGGGTGTCGCAGAACCGTCGGCGATTCACCGAGGACGGCTTCGACTTGGACCTGTGCTATGTGACGGACCGCATCATCGCAATGGGCTTTCCGGGGGAGGGTCCGCAAGGTGAGACCGGGCGCACAGGGTGTCGCGACTTGGGCACAGCGCACGGCTCGGTCAAACCATCGGTCTGCGAGGCTGTGGGAGCCCCACCCCTGTTGCCACGGCTGTGTGCACTCGACCGCTGTTGCAGTTGGCTGTGAGCTGCGGGGGACAAGGTCTTCTGTCGGAGCGATGGGCCAGGCGCGAACTGATCGAGCGGGAATCGCCACGCTTTGACCCTGTGAAAGAAGGCCTCTGCCGCGGCTACCTTCTGGTCTGTTGTCTTTCTGTTTCTGGTCCATCGGTGCACTTGGATGTGGGCGGGACGTAATGGCGACAAATCGGACACAGATGCGGACTAACTGCCTGATGCCATGGTTTGCCATTACCACCGCGGGGCGCGATCTTTGCTGGCGTTCCTTCGTTGACAGACGTGGTGGCCCAGCACATTGATTGCTCAATTGTTTGCTTTTGGGGAAGGGCTCCGCAAAATTCACTTGGTTTGCAGGTCTGCTGCGGAACCCGATGTCTGAGACCGTGAAGCTGCTTCAGATGAGGCATGCTGGGCACTACAAAGTCTACAATCTGTGCAAAGAGCTCACATACGAGCCGGAGAAGGTGGAAGGCTTGTACGCTCATTTCCCTTTTGAAGACCACCAGGTGATCAGCACACACTGCAGTGGGTGCCTTCTGAAAGCAAGGGTGCTGGCATGTGCTCTGCGTTAGCTGATGCACAAACGGACACACTCAAAGACTGTGCAGTACTAGGGGCCTTTTCAGCAATGCACTGTGCGGATGTGGGGGGATTGGCTGCAGGTCATCACAATGTGTTGGGGCGTGATATTACATAGCTCATGTCTAAGCTGTCGATACACTGGTCTCCGCTCTTAGTCACAGACAGCTTTCCTTGTCCCAACGTTGGTTGCCTTCTTGCAGACTCCTCCACTAAGCCTTGTGAAACTCTTCTGTGAGGATGCTGAACAATACCTTTCAGAAGATCCGGACAATGTCATCGTTGTGCACTGCAAAGCTGGCAAGGGAAGGACAGGGATAATGGTGTGCTCATACCTTGTTTACAAGGTGCGTTTTTGCATGTTTCAGAGGGCACATTCTGACAATTCACTGCCCATACAGCACTCTTTGGCCCCAGATTGTTCTAGTTTGTACGCTTTGCTTCTGTGCCCTCAAGGCACTGGGGGAATTGCTTCAGCATGCTTGCTTGTTGTGTGGCTCAATTATGATAGTTGATCAGCATCCCTCTGCACAAAGGATAGTCCCTGATGTTGGCAACTCTATCTGTGTGGGAGACCACGGAAGGACTCTCAGTTCTCATAAGGAGGTGGGCTGTCTGCATAGTCATGTTGTCGAACATATGTCAAACATGCAGCAAATATACTGATCTTCAGGTGTGAATCGCTTCAGAGGCTGTGCTGCAGCGCAGAAGAAGCCATGTCCCTGTTTGGAGAAAAGCGAACAGTTAACAACAAAGGAGTGACAATACCAAGTCAACGAAGGTAATGGAGATTATTCGATCCAGGCAGTGCTGTCAAGTATCCATCCTGGTGGTAGAGAATGTGAAGCACTTGCAATCGACCCTTTTTGGGCATCGGAACAATGTGCTGCACGTGTAATATGGTGCCCTTTAGCTTGCAGGATTCTTGAAGCTCTGTCTGGAAGCAGGATTGTATCGAGTTGTATTAGTTGTATAAGTTGCATTAGTTGTATTAGTATATATTGTATTAGTTGGGTTGTATTGGGTATTCGCACTGTATCGTGACACCATCAGAATTCGAGGGCCCTCACTACAGAATCTGAAACTGTGTGACAGGGCTCCTCTTTGGACATTTATGGTGACTTGCTGTGTTTGTGCGCCATTTACAGGTACATCGAATATTTTTACAGGGTGTGGAAGGATGGTTTGCATCTGCCTCAACCAAAGGCGCTGCGATTGATGTCCTTGAGGTTGGTGCAGTGCTGGGCGATGCTGTAACCAGGCCTGACATGGTATACCCTCTCAGTTGCCTCTGTATGTCTACCATTATTTCTGCGGGGCAAGTAAGCAAATCGAAAGATTGGTAATTTCCTGGTTATCTGGCATTGGTGTCCATAGACAGGACCTCAAATAAAGAGATAGATACAACTGTGCTTCATGAATACCAACTCTGTTTAGACCCTCGATCAAAAGAATGGGCAGGGATTTTGTGAAATCAGGCCCAGGAAATGGCAAACATGGGCTAGAAATAGCAAAATGTATGGTGCAGGAACAAGTGCTGGCCTTCGCAACCATGGCAAGTTTGCAGCAAAACGATCATGCCCAAGCACAGCCATCGCTCTTCACTTTTCGACTCCCAACACCCATTCCACTAGGTGAAATGAGCACCCACAGCTGCTTGCCACATCTTGCACGGTGTTGGCTCCTACCCTCCATCCTGCAGCTGACCTCACATTCTTTTGATATCCCGGATCTTCGCTCGATCGGCACGTCAGCAATGTCCTTGCCTGCCCCCAAGCACTGCTGCACCAGCTGACAGTGCACTGCCTACTGGCGATCAGCTGCTGACAACTGGGAAACTGCCTTCCATTCGATCAGCGTAGGCCAAATTTGCTTGTACATTCCGGATATATTGCCAGCGAATGCACTTCGCACTTTGAACGGCCACTTTTGTATGCAACAAAGGGTGCATGTAAACCAGAGTTGTGCAGCGGGCTTCACTTCATTGGGACAATCGAATGAGCCCTGACGAAAGTTTTGAGGCAGGCACTAACACCAGTTCATGACTACTAACGTGCTTTGGAACCCCAGAGATGGAGGTGGATACTGGGACTGTGCAACTACAGTATTGCTAGGAGCTGCTGAGCTGAAGGGATCTGCGACATTCTGCAAAGAGTTCGTGTGGGTGCAATAGATTCGGCCATTGCTTGAAGAAGACGTGAGAGCAATGTACAGTCGTGTTGGCAGCAAGTGTTGTCGAAGTAGAATAGTGTTACAAGATGTCAGTCAGCAGCTTTCTGCTTGTGAGCAGGCAGGATTCTGTGTGGTGATGCAACTCTGTTCTGCCACCAGGGTGTCCGGTCTTCCGAAGGCAGTAACCCAGAAGCTCCTGGTGAAGGTATCAGTCCGTGACCCAGCGGACAATGAAATGCGACCTGTGGGGGTTATCTGGGAGCCCCCTTCTCTGAAGAGGGGGCTTGGGTGCAAGGCCAGCTGTCTGCACCCTGATGTAGGATCCAGCACGTGCGCAGACAGCTATCAGGTATTCAGCCACGGCGAGGATTTTCAAGTGGATTTTGAGTGTGAAGCGGGCCAAGGAGACCTGTGGACTGTGGAAGGAGACTTGAAACTGCAGGTGCGGAACCTAGCTGTCAACGGACAGCTGGTGGGTGGGACACACAAAGAGCCCTGCTCTGTACACTGAGAATCAGATTGTCGCACAGCTGCACATGATGTTAGGTAGGGATTCAGCCCGAAAGCAGCCAAGATGGCTGTCACCCCCGTGGGCGTCAACTTCCCCAACATCGCTTGTGCCCATTACCAAACAAATAAAAAATGCAAAATGCTTCCGAAGGGGTTGTGAACTCTGGGGTTGTGAAGGACTTGAGAGGTTGAAGAGGTTTACAATGGCTGGTGCAGTCCCAAGTTTTGCTCTGTGTTTTGTCTCACCCTGTTGCGGGCGGTTGCATGTAGTGACACAACAGAGTGGGACGTTCTGTGCGTGTGCTGTGGCCACATTCATGAGTACCCAGGGTGTATCAAAGAGGGCCCTGTGCACAGCTCTCATGCACACAGTGCCACTATTGACTGAAGGGGCAGTGCCAGTTCTATGTTGCCATTATTTGTGTGTGGTTATGCGTTTGTCAATGTTGTGAAGAATTGCCTGCTGACCCCAGCCAGGTGAGGGTTTCGTCATTGGTCCAGGAAAGGCCATGTGCATCTGTGGCAGAAGTATGCTGATGTTGCTTGATTTCGCTATCTGCAGGTTGATAAGATGAAATATGTTGTTGGATATAAAATGATATACGATATGTGTTGATGGATAAAACAATGAACGTTAATGGATTCTGTTGTGTGGATGTGAACACAGTTTTTTGAGGGTTCGGCGACAAACGGCCGAAGCCTATTTTATGCCTGGGTAAATACCGCTTTTGTTTCTGATCGAGTCGTTCTGGAAAGGCCAGAACTGGATAAGGTGGGGGCTTGCGCTGCTATTTCTGTATTCATCTATACATTGTTGTACTGCGTGTAGCTGTGTTTCTGCATTAACGGACGGCATGTGTGCACAACGAGCAAATGCTGCATTTCAGCACTTGCTGCCTGTGTCACAAAAACTCTGACTTACGTAGAGCTCAATGGAGTTCGGCGGCATTCGTGGCCATGCGTGTGGCACTGATGCACGATGGTTTCATATTGCGCTGTGGCCACACAACCCTGCATCGCCTCAGCTTTTGGTGAGCGGGCTCATCGCACCGTTCACTCAACAGTTGTTATCACAATGCTCATCGCATCGTTCACTCAACAGTTGTTATCACAATGAGTTCAGAGAACACCTGCTGTAGCCACGGAATGGCCTCTGCCTTCTGTCAGTGTTTTCGCTACGGATGGCCAAGGCTTCTGTATGTGCTTATGTGACAGCAGGACTTGAGCATGCAGGTGTCTTGCAGGTGCGGAGCTGGATACCCGATGATGTTCAGCTGGAGGTCCAGTTCTCCACCAACGTGGAGGGCAGTGTGGCTAGCAGGGAGCCAACGAACGATTGGATTGAGTCAGAGCCCGAGGAGTTAGTTAACGGTGACGATGGAGGGGCATCTTTCTCTCCCAAGCATTTTGACTGGCAAATGGAGAGCTGGTGTCTGGCGACGAGGCCAGGTGAGCTTGTGCGCAGCGTGTCTGATGCGCAGAGCAAATATGTCCAGCTTTCCGCGTTTCAGGATGGCCTGATCACTGCTCACGATGGAGGCATTGGACATTCCCCAGCCCAAGGACAGTTCTGCAGGAACAGGTGCATATTGATGGCCAGCTTGGGGGCCGGATGTTTTGTCAGTTGTATTTTACCAACGTGTGTGTGTTGACTGTAGATAGCCCACAAGAAGCTGCGCAGGTGGAGCTTGTCACATTTGGGAAACGCAGTCAACCAAAACGCGAAGGTCAGTGGAGGTGTTCAAGTGGGTTGGCGTTGTAGGTTTGAGGGTACTGGAAGATTTCCTACATATGGCGTTACGACAACATGTGTATGTCACCATCCACGCTGTACCCGCAATACATGACCCATCGGAATGTTGAGGGTACTGGAGGATGTCGGGGAGAATATCACAATATCAATTGCCTCAAACCTTTGCTTTGGCGCTTGGAATCCATGCTGGAATGGCTGCGGCATTTCGCAAATCAACACCCACCATGTGCCCCACGGTGGTACTTGCGTTCGATAGTGCAGATGAACAGCTGACCTGTGAAGAGTAGGACACTGCGTTTCTTCACTTCCTCATTATCATGGTACGTTTGTGGATCACTGTGTCAATCATGGAGTGATCCCCACTTTTGCTCGCACAGATTTGGCGATTCTAAGTAGGCTGTACACAGCTAGCAGCAGGAAGCACTTGCAGCATGGAGGCCTGATGTTCTGGATTTCTTGTGTGCGTGCAGCTTTCAGCATTGACCATCCCACTGGCCATGCGCGTCCTCATAGGAGACTGACCTCAGCCAGGCACCTCCTCGTGCGCGATTGCCGCCTTGCGCTGCCGGAGACGCGCTCGGCGTGACAGCTGCTTCTCCAGGTCTGTCCATTGTGCCGCCAGGAGCGCAGTATATCTACCTACAACGCAATGACGGAGGGAGCCACGGACGGCGATGCCGATGGGCTTTGCTGTCCAGGGAAGTGGCTCGTCGCGACCTCATTTCAAATGGCATAACAAGAGCATGGCTCAAACAGGTGAACCATGGTTGGCAACTTAGAGGCGCAGGCGTGCTGCACCATTGCGCATGGGGTTGGGGCATGAGCTGGGGTGACATGTTGCCACTTTGCCTGATGGAATAAAATGCGGTGGTTCGTCGGTCATGTGCGGCTTTGATTCTTGCACAAGGGCTGTGCATAATGAACCTGTGCATGGGAGATTCATTAAGTTTTCTTGATGGGGTCCTTGCTGTGGATGGGCTCCCACAGACGCAGAGAGTTTGGTAGGGATAGTTGTAGCTGAGAACAGGCGCAAAAACGACTTCAGTGAACACGATTCATCACCAGCTGCTGCCCTCTAAACATGGGCGAATTACCATGCTGGAGTACATTCCAATTTTTCTTTCGGGGAGGTCAGTTCAAGATCGATCGTTGGATTTTTGAACAGTAGTCATTGTTACCCTTTCCTTAGCTATTCGCGAATTGCGGTGGCTGGCGTTTCGTGGACCCACATATGGCTTTCACCATAAGGAACATGAGCGTGGAGAGGTTTTTTTTTTTGGTGTATTGTCCGTCATTTGATATTTCTGTTTAGATTAAAGGCCTTGCATGGGCACCGGAGTTGGTAGATATTTGTTGCGTTACAATTTAATTTTGAATTCTGTTTTGGGCTTCAGCTGTGATATTCGCCATTATTCATGTTTTCGCTGCACTCGATGAAGGACACATGACCGACATGTGGCAACGAACTGGGTGATACAAACACCTGTTACCGGTCACGGAATAATACGGATAGCCGCTCAGTGGTGCAGAAAAGCGGAAAACCACACTAGCAATCGAATGGTGTGATGGGCGGAAGTGAAAGAGCCGTGTGCGCCATGGTCTTTGGACTCTGGTCTTCAGATTCGAAGCAAACACTGAAACACTAAGACAAATGAACTGCCAGCAACGGCAAATGTACCATCCTGCAGAATTGCACTCAAGGACAATACCCTGCCAAACCTGCCATGTCTGACATGGGCGCAAGTGCGGGGATCGGTGACGCTAATGTGCTGTCCCGCCAACTCGTGTGCACAGCAGCAGCAACACGTCAAGGTTACCATACCAGACACGGTGCAGCAGTCGGCATGTTTGTGCAGCATGCTTTGTGCACACTGTGAAAAGTCCTGGACCCTTGCCGCACTTAGCGTCCATTGAGCGCTAAGCGTACTCAAATCCAACCAGTGTCTTTCCTTGCCCACCAAGAGATTCCTGCTCAGGCAACCTCCGTTTCGACGCTCTCCAAATCTCTCTTATTCCCTTCCACAATATTCGGTAGCTGCTAAAACTAGTCTTGTTGAACTTCACATTTGATTGTTCACAAAATGCCATTGCCCAAGCTAAATTTTCGAGAGGGTGGGGGGAGTGCACTTCATAAACAGCTTGAGTTACACACTCAGTTCCCAATGCCCAAAGGATTTAACCAATGAGCAACGCGTACATGTAAATCTGCACATCATGACAAGGCTCCATGAAAGTGCCACTGCCTGTCCACACAATAGGCATCCATGCATTTTGCGAGCCACGCAATGAACCCACAAAGAGCCGGGAATAGGTGTTCTGTCAGCGTTTAACCAGAACTGCAACGGACCTAGCGATATAGCGCCTCTGCTCGCAGATTGGCAGCAATCTCAGTTTCCCAACGGTCCCCATTCTGTAGCAGCTTTTGCTTGTCGTACAGAAGCTCCTGCAGAACACCGTGCATGCAAACCTCTTAAACGAACATGCACAATCAAATGCCGCATCAATACCCCCTCAATGCCTATGAAAGCTAATCAACAGAAACCATCCAGCCTGCACACTCCGATGCATATGTGCGCATGCTCAAACTGTGCTTCAAGAATAGCCAGAAGTTCAGCACACAAAGGAGCACACCACTCCTAGCAAGCATAAATTGGGCCCTTTCCCGCTCTTCAACAGTATAGGCCACTGACGGCGAGAATGAAACCCACAGCCACAAGCATTGATGCCAGTTAGAACCATGCACTCTTGGGGGTGATAGCCAAAGAAAAAGGAAGTTCGTCAATGCTGGCCCATCGTAGCGGACTGCGACAATATCAGGGTAACACATCGTCCACCAACTAGAACGTTACTGCTCAGCAACTGCAACAGCATACAGTCAGAGCAAATGGCAAGTCATCCAGAAACTGTGGGTGCGTGTGTGTCTCTTGTTCTTGAATGTGAGCAGCAGTCTAAGCCCCACATTGACTCACCTCTCGAGTTTCAGTCGCATATTCAAAGTTGGGACCCTCCACAATAGCATCCACAGGGCATGCCTCTTGGCAAAGCCCACAGTAAATGCACTTTGTCATGTCAATGTCATACCTGTGGTACACATGGGAAACAGACATGACATCTTGGAAACGAGACAGCAACCAAAGGGCTTACCAGTGGTCAGTGACAACTGACTGATTTGCAAGCCCTTTGAGCAGGGAAAAGCGCCAAGCATGCATACACAGACAGCAAGAAATCAACTAGCACACTTCCTTATCGCCTGTGCCACAGCAGTTGATGTTGTTGCCAACGAAATCATGAGTGTGTGTGCACAATGCAGCAAGTTTAGGAGAGCAAGCAGTAAAGCAAATCAGCTATACACAACACATAATGCTGGGTGTTCATAAAAGGCTCCACAGCCCTGTCTCCATTTCACGATCTTTAGGTGTCCAGGGGGACTTCAGGATCGGACCTCGTTGTTCTTCGACTGCCATCCTCTCGCTCCTCTGCCTCGATTGTAATTGCCTGGGCTGGGCATATCTGAACGAGCAGAAAGGACAGAACTGACATACTGTGCATGTACCATCCCAAAATGGGCACTGTGAAGGTGTCAGCCAACCACCGACATTAGGCACAGGCTCATCTCGCATCAGGCCCCATGGGGACCGCAACGGCCTAAAGGCAGAGATAACTGCATATTGCTATCAGTGTATAATTCCTCAGGTCATGATGCTCAAGATCAAAAGGAGCGTGCAGAGCAAGGACAGGAAGCCCTGATGCCGAACTCAACGGAACCCAGCCATGGTGACAAAGAGCCAGCGGCATAGATATGGACATTCGCACAGCATTTCTGACCAGCAGCCAAGCCTCTGCCGCTTCTTTCATAACCAAAGTTGCCCGATCCCTTGCTGAACAAACATTGTTTCGAGCCACGGAACTGAAAGGGCGATTTCACGTCATCGTCCTTACCGCTTCACACAGCTTGCAGGCGATACACCTTTCCTCGCCAGATGGATACCGCCGCAGGGCATGTTCACCCCGAAATCTGGGGCTCAAGGGGGCCTTCTCAAACGGATAGTTCACCTGTGTAGCGATGTCCACCGTTGTAGTATTTGACCTCACGGGGACGACGGAATCGAAGCGCAGGAAGCAGAAAACTCACCGTGACTTTGGGGTCGAAAAACGTCTTCAGCGTCAGGCCCAGCCCGCGAAAGATGTCCGTCAGAAACAGGGTGTTTGCATTCTCCTCCAGAACTGCACCCACACATATACGGAATGGCATCACCAAGAACGCACCACAGGCGGCTCGCACCAACGGGCACAAACCTCTGCGCAGCGTGAGACACTATTTCGTCGCGCCCCGACGACTGAGGGCGTGCACAACATCGTCCAATCATCCCGCCACAAGCGCCTATGGTGCGCACGTCCTTGGCCAACAATGACACGCACCTGCCGCCAGATTCCTGGGCACCTCCCTGTCTGATATGGGCGCCCTGGGCTCCTTCTCGGGCGCCGCACCTACAACAACGGAAGGCCACCTCATCAACCACCTTGGTGGTTCACGACTAGCGATTCTGGGAACGGCGACCCGCAGGACACGGCCCACACACCCGCAACAGCGGATCCGTGGAAGCAGCTCCCGGAAGCGCCAAGCCACGGGGAATGCGCCGAAGGGCGCTGCGACAAGGACCTGCACAGGCGCAGCATCCTGCGAGGGACACGGCGACAGCCCCCGCTTGGGCCAAGCGGGTGTGGTGCCTTCTGTGGGCTCTTGTACCAGCAATATGCGGCAATTTGCTTGACCGCATATCGCACCGCCCATCGCACTCCCTCCTAAATAGGACACCAGCGTTGTGACGAGCCTTCTTGCCACATTCCGCCGAAGCATGCGCCGAGGGGCCAGAGCTGGTGTGGCAACAGAGGGGTTGCCCCGTGGTGCCTTAGTCGCCGCGGCGCAAGGTTGAACATGAGCTCTGATGGCCAGTCGCACCTGGAGCGAATCGGTGGGGCCCTGAAGAACGTCCAGAGGTGAGCCCCCGGCGCTGCGAGTATCCCCAAAAGCCCTCTGTGTCAAGAGCTAACAAAATTCCATGGCTGACGTGAACAAAGACGGTCAAAAACCGGAAATGCCTGCAGTTTAGTTTTTCAGATCCCGCTGTTGACGCGCGGGCGATCGTTCCCGCCAGTTTTCTGCGCGGGAATCGTTTTCCAGGGACCGTGAAGCGGAAAGAGCAGTCCGCGGAGGCGGGAGGCGCCTGCGGCCAGGCGGGAGCATCTTTCTCTGGCCCCGGCGGCAGGCCAGGCCCACATCAAGGTGCTGCCGTCGACCCTGTGCCCTCCGACCAGTCGGTGGGTGGAGCGAGCCCCGGCTGCGTTGCGCCGTCTCTGGGGTGCTTGGGGCCAGTCTGAGAGGAGGATCCTGCGCCTGGGCGCCCAACGTTGTCCGGCGTACATTTTGATTTCAGTCAATCAAGTGACCCCTGCTATGAGAGCTGTGACTGCCGCAGTCATGGCTCTCGGCACTGACGCAAAATGTGTTCGAGCCACCTTGGAACCGTCACCCCTTCAGTTGAGCACACGGGGTCCCTAAGTAGCGCAAGCGGCCAGAATAGACGAGTCCATGTCGGAGGCGAAGCTCCCTTTGCATCTCACCCGCACGCTATCCCGCACCCTAATGCACGCCCAGTGATGAGTAGACCACCATTTAACTTAGCGATCCATGGGAGGAACTTTATAACTGGATATTTCCCTTTGTCTGCTGGATCAACAGCAGCCACTACAGCAAGTCTTTTTTGGCTTTGGTTGTGGAACCCACACGCTGATTGGTAATGCGTGATGCCAAGCACGATTTACTGCCTCCACTTGCCTGTACAGTGTTTTCGGTTTGTTTTGGGCTTAGGCTTCTCCACATTGCTGAATGTGGCATGCCATTGCAGTTGCAGGAATACGTGGAAGTTCCACCATGCAGTCCCTCAGAATCTGCAGCCGTTCAAACTGGGCACCACAGCAATGTGTTTGAAGGCTTGCCTCCTGGTAACAGAGATGAATCTCGGCAGCAGGAGACCTCAACATCGCAAGCATTACAACCCACAGTGAGGAGCCACTCAGTGCTCAGGGAAGAAAAGCTGCAAAAATTGCTGAGGGCCAAGATGGTGCGTTGAAAGAGGTTGGACAACATGCGCGCCAGCAAAATGTGACAGCTGTGCATGAATGGAACATGCAGCATTCCTTTGGACATGATGAATTTGAGTCTGGCCTGGTGTAATGTCTTATGCCCAGAGTGCGGCAGCAGCTGCTGCAAGTTAAGAGAAATGTGGGAATAGATCATATTATGGCCTTTTGGTGCATGCTGCAGGTGAACATGGACAGGCTACGAGAACTGGCATGGAATGGCATTCCACCTGGTCGACGTGCTGTGTGTTGGCGCTTGCTACTGGGTTATCTTCCCCCAAACAGGTACACCAGGTGGTTGGCTGTTGCTGGAGGGAGGAGCCTCACGCCTTTCCTGATGTGTCAGTTATGCTCATAAAAATACTTTGTTCCCACTGGTTGGTTTTCTCACTTTGTGCTGGATGGACAGATTGTTGCCATGTTACCTTCCTGCCTGTTGGTGACCCAACGAAGATTGGTAAAACAAGCAATGTCCACCCTCTACAATTTGATGTGTAGATTCCATGGACAGCACATGAGACCTCCTGACTCACTGTGCTGCAGTGATAGACAACTCGCCGTCTTGCAAAGGAAGAGGCGAGAATATCAGAGCTATGTTCCTGAGTACTATGACATATCCAACACCATGCGGTCAGAAGAAGAGGTTGGTGCGCTGAGGCAGGTGGGAGTGGATGTGCCAAGAACAGCCCCTGGCGTACCCTTCTTCCAGCAGCCAGCTGTGCAGAAGTCGTTGGAAAGGATACTGTACATCTGGGGCATCAGGCATCCTGCCAGCGGGTATGTGCAAGGCATCAACGACCTGGTGACACCCTTCTTGGTGGCATTTGTGTATGAGCATCTGGAGGGGCCTATGGACTCATGGCAACTTGCCGATCTACCAGAGGTGAGCATTGGCTGCTGTGCTGGTGTACCCTGCCTGTTGACAAGGAGCCAAAGGAATGTGCCCTGACTTGCTGCCACACCCAGGGATCTCTGATTTGTCACAGCCTTTAGGAATGATTTTGGTGCGGACTGTACCGTTGGCTGCCCTGTCAATAGCACATCACACCCTAAATCTTTCAGCTTGTCTGGGAGGCCAACAGTTGGTTGCAGCCACAAGAGCTTAGTGTCCAGAAACTGAACATCAGCGCCTTGCCCACCGTTTGTGTTTGTGATCAATGACACCACCAGCTGTTGTCAACTGCCCTAGATCGATCAAAATCATCAATTTTATGCTGTCGATTTTGTCAAGTATTCTTTCAGATCATGGTTGTTGAACCAGTGACATGTTTGTGGATTAAAACAATGCTCTGCGTGATGCCAGAACAGGATACTCTCCTGACCAAGCTGAGTATTTCAGTTGAGTTTAAAGCCAGTGGGCTCTTGGCTTGCTGCTGGTGTCCTTCTCAGTGTACTTGAATGCTACAAAAATTGCTGGAAGTGTGTCTGCCTGTCTAATTGCAGGATGTTATTCTCAATGTTGAGGCAGACACCTATTGGTGCCTGTGCAAGCTGCTAGATGGCATCCAAGATCACTACACATCGGCGCAACCAGGCATCCAGCGTGCAGTCTTCAAGGTCAGAGAACTAGTCAGGTGAGCAAAACCGGCGTAGGGGGGTGGGGGAAGTGGCAGTGTGCAATGCTTATTGGATGATGGGCCATTTGTTGCTCCTGTACTGTTGCATACTGTATTGAGCTTGTCTCCCAGGAGCATCTTATGGCAATGCTACTGGGCTGGATCGCAGTTCATTGGTTGAGTACTCCAACAAGTCGTTCCAAGACTTCAGGAACACTGTTGGCCAGTGTGAGACTTGAATGAGGCAATCTGGCCTCGGTTTTGCACACTGGCTGTCCTGTCCAGGATTTAGGTGGTCTGGCAGCCTGTAGTTCTCGGTTGTGTGTCGTGTACTCAACCTTCTGTAGCTTCCCCGTCTTCTGGTGGAGTGCGGATTGCACCAGTCACATTCCCTCATCGATTATGGATGGTCAGTGACAAATGGCTATGTGGCAGTTTGTTTGTTGGAAGTGTTGGCCTGTGTGCACAGGGCTCATTCCGTGTTTGCTAATTCAAGGGTATCTCACAGATCAGCGATGCCACTTGTTGTCGTGAGGTGCATGCAGGATAATTGCCATCTGCTCATATCAGCTGTGACTGCTCTCCTGTATTCAAAATGTTGCTCGTGCAGGAGCGGTTGCATGCTCTATGGTCATGGGAAGAACTGACTGTGCATCTTGCGCCGTCTGGAACTTTTCTCAACCTGTTGGTAGCTTTTGTCCTGCAGGCGAATCGACGAACGTGTTGCTCAGCACCTGGATGACCAAGGGATAGACTTCCTCCAATTCGCCTTTCGATGGGTGAACTGTCTGCTAGTGAGGGAAGTGCCCTTCCACTTGGTTGGCCGGCTGTGGGATACATATTTAGCTGAAGGACAAAGATTCAGCGATTTTCTGGTGAGTGTTGCATTTGGCATGACAGGATGGAAAGTAACAGTGAAGATGTTTCGTGAAACTGCTTCCACCTCTTGGGGTGAGTTGAGCTGTCACGCCACTCTCTGTGGAATCTGGCTCATGAAAGTGTGCCCACCATATCCTATGGAGGATTGCAACGCCCCGTTGCTGCTGAACACTCATTGTATGTTGATTATGTTTCAGCCTGTGCCGGACATGTGTCACGGTGGTTAACAGGTGGTACTGTGGGCTGCAGGTCTATGCCTGTGTCGCTTTCTTGCTGCACTGGTCGGATGAGCTTCAAGGGAAGGAGTTTCAAGAGATGGTAATCTTCCTGCAGCACCCCCCAACAGCCGACTGGACGGAACAGGAGATTGGGGTGGTGTTGTCCCATGCCCACATGTACCAAACAAGTTTTGAGAAAGCGCGCAGCCATTTGTGCTGAAACGGAATATAAATTGGGGTCATGCACAGCAGTGGTGTTGTGCCAGCGGAAGCGTTGTTCCAACGGTGAGGGGCACGGTTGCTCACCTAATTGTGCTCAAGACTGTTGATCAAGGTCGATTTCCCTCCCCTATGTTTGTAGCCATTTCCTTTCACTTCGGTTCTGCCTTTTTGGGCTTTCATGCCTTCGCCACACAACAACAGGCCATGCCTGCCGTCCAATTTTATTCTTCCGACGCCAGGCTTTCGCTTGCTTCGCAACCAGCACCCACAACAGTCTGTGCCACTTCTGTTGTCCAGGTGCTGAATTGGCACAACGCTTGAGCTCTGCACGGCACCATTGTAGTGGGGAACAGGCCCAAACCCTGCGCGAGCACGCACCCTGGTCGTTGTTGGGATCGCAACATTCAAAGCTTCACTGTCTCGCCATATCTTGAGTGGACCACACAGAGTGACATAGAATAGGTCGTTCGTAAAGTGGCCGGAAAGGGGGGCTGGGACAAGGTAGAGAATGCTCATGCGCTGACAGAGATTCACCGAGCTCTGTGAAAGCAGCGGTGATGCCGACAGCGTGAATGACAGCAGTACCAACCGGGATGAACAAGCGGGCCGGTGGTTCATAGCAAAGTGGCTATTAACAATGGCTGATGCCAATGGACACTGGCAAGTGTGGCCTGATGGCGTCGGTCTCTCACTGGAGCCTGACGGTGGGACCCTGTGCAGTGTTTCCTTTTCTTGCTGTCCGCGCTATCAAGTTGCACAACATATACCAGGCGCAAGAGCGGCTGGGAAGTGGAGAAACACCAGGCGAAATCTGGGTACCCGTGAGTTCATCACCGACTGAAACTCGCCGTCCACAGTTGTTGCATCGGGATGAAAGCAACGGATGTCGGCGCTCAGTGCTGTCAAAGCAGCGCTGTGATCGTCAAGGCTGGGGTGCATTTGTGGGGCCGTGATGATATGTACGTATCCACGTTCATTCGCCCTGCCAGTGGCAGTGTTGGATTCGCCCATGCACAGGTGACAACGTAATTCGAACTTGTTGGCACAAAAGCACCGCAGCTTTCTGTCATGGCGAAAGGCTGAATCAAAGTCGTCAAATATTCATGGCAAGAGAACATGTGAAGCGATGGTCATGATGAGGATGGGAAGTTCGCAACTTGTGACTTTATGTGTTACAAGGCACTTGTGTCTGTCATCACGGCAATTCAGCGACCCCTCTGGAGCGGTGATTGTGTCCCCGCTATGCCCTGGTAAGAGTGCTGTGATCACCAAAGGCAATCAATATGATAAGCGACGATCGCAAAGTGATCTCTCACAATCGGCCACCAGCCTCAGGGCCTTGTACAATGGCTCTGACAGCCACCTTGTCTAACACGCTAGGAATCCACTGACCTCAAACTTGAGCTTCAGACCATTGTACCATCCACATTCAACAGGCAAGCTCTCAACGATATGGATGGAGCGGAAATCGTCTGTGCACCACAGGAAGCTGCTTTGGAAAGCACCAAATCCTGCGTAGGTGATTCAACCCGACGTTGACACTAATGTGCCGCAATGTGTAGGAAAGCCATGCGTGCTGTATGTGCAAGCGTCTTGGTTGAAAGTGCCTATCTTGCCTGCAAGATGCAGGGCCACTGCTTTGTCGCGCATCAGCAAAATCAATCAGACGCATTTCACCAATCCGCCAAGCGGCCCTCAGAGAGCGTGTGCCAATGCCGTCGAGAGATTCGACAGATGCTTGAGGAGAGCATTGAGTTGAGGGCTAGGAGGACAGTTTCTTGGGAGTCCAAACTGCATGCCGACTGCGTAGCAGCTTCGTGCCAACTGTGGAGCTGGTTCGACATTCCTGAGCAGAGCAACCTCTGTGTCAACAATATGCTGGTGGTCTGCAGAGTCCGCTGTCAACGACCTGCTCGCTATGTTGCTCAACAACGTTTTCGTGCTGCCTCAATGCTTGCAGTACCTCGGTGATGTGCAGCCCTGTGAAGTTTACACGTGCACACGATGATTGTTCATCGAGCTATTTGTATCTGCAAGACATCCGGTGCATGCATCTGAACGAATCGTGGGCTGCAAGACAGAGAACGTCGACTCCTTTGAGTTGGTGCTCGACTGACCGTTGGAGGTCGACTAGTGCTCGAGAATGTCGCTGTGACTCATTCCAGAACAAAACTCTGGTCCAAAGATGGACGGTTTACAAGTGCCTCGCTTCGTCCCTGCCACGTGGTTTTCCTGAGGCAACATGTGTCTGATTCGCTGGGCACCTACTTCGCCATCACTGCTGGAGGGCATTTCGTTTCAATTTCTTTTTGTGGAAAGGCATTCGCTGGAGTGGAACCGTGGATGCCGAGGGTGGCTGTTGCACATAATGATTCCCGTTTGTACACCTTGGGAAGAACAACTGCAGAATCTGCATGTGCGCTTGACCAACTGCAGAAGGCTCAGGGCTGGGGTGACAGCACACGTTCTTAGGCAGAGCGCTCACAGAAACCACTGCGTGGGTGTTTCAGTTGGGCAATTGGTTAGTTGCTGCGTCTCGTTGGGAGCTCTTTGCCTGGCGGTGGCTGTTGCAGTGTTGCTGCACGTTTCTTCCATTCAACTGCGTATGTCACCGCCTATTCAAGTCAGAAACATCCTTTTCTGATGGCTGGGCAAATCCAACAGTCTGCATATGAATACAGATAGTTGAGACAATGGAAACCCTGCAGACAGATTCTTTTTCAAACAAGGAATCTATTTTTGAAGAATTCTCGGGTTCCGTGCACGCCCTGGCACCACCGAGGTCAGCACATTCCTATACATCAGGTACATATCAGGGCAAGCATATGGTGGGAGAACACACCAGCGAAGTCGACTCGAATCTCACAAAGCAATCCCAAATTCGTCCACAGTACCGCACAATGTTCCCAACAGCCCCTGATTGGCTTGCACGAGCATTGCTCACGCAGTCATCCTCTTGAACACCCAAAACATTGACGGAATCTGGAAGAATGCCAAACCCACAATGAAAGCCATTGTGGATTCAAACCTGGGGTGGAAATAGCGGGCCGTGTAGAACATGTCAGCACTTGTCAACATGGACAGCACTGTGGAGCTCAAAACACCAAGCTCAAGGAAAATGACCTTCACTACCTGGTTCGCCATCTTCACTTCTTTTGGTTTGTATGCCCCCTCCCAAAGTGCAGCTGCCGTAAGAAGCAGCTCTGCCTGAACAATGGATGACATGGAAGTGCCCAGCACAATATGGTCAGACAGCCAATGCCCGAACATCTCTTCAGTGGCCAAATGCAAGTAGTAAATGGCCCACCGCACACAAGTAATCCCAATGTAAACCTGGACTGCTGGGAGCCCACCAGCAGGTCTGGAACCTTTCTTATCTTCCCCACGCTCCCTGGTGAAAGACTCTCCCACAACCCTCAACAGAAAGACACTGAAAGGGAGCACCGCGCCACTCACTTTCAGTATGTCGTCATACCAAAGCAGGGGCAGGCTAACCTCGGACTTCGGTATTTCTTCACTCAGCACAATTCCTGTGACCAAACAACCCAGCCAAATCACGAAAGTGCATGGAAGGCACACAAGCGCCAATGCTCTTCGTAGCTCCTTCTTATCAGCCGGCGTTAGCTTCGCCGGGCCTTGCTCTCTCTTGGCCTCGCGTGCGTTCATTTCCCTCGACGTCCTTGCCATGGTTCAAAGAGTGTGAATGACCCTTCCTGTGCACACCGGTTGTCAGAAGCACACATCGCGTGGCGGCATATTGCCCAAAGACAGCTGCTGCGGAAGCAGCCGTTGTGGCTGTGAGATGTCCTCACAAAAGCGAAGCCGAGCATCTCCTGGAGTTTTTCATGCAGCCCCTTGGGCAGGGTCATGTTTGGAACGCAGCGGTCACAGAGCAAACGCGTGTGGCGTGCTACTGGCTGCCCCAACGTCCGCCACATGTTTCAGGAGACCGAACACCTTCATCTACTTGTCCACGCGCTCCCAAAGCAACAAGCAAGAATGACCCCAAAGGACAAGATGATGGTTATGAACAGCCAAAATTTCTCGCAAGCCTGCTTTGGCTTATACATCTGGGCCTGTTGCTTGTTGGGGGCGTCCCATCCGAGGCATTGTGTATCCAACGAACGTCATCATGGGTCATCCCAGCGCACATCGCGAGCACAAGGCCAAGACCAGCAGTTCCGCACGAGTGCACGGCCTTCCGGCGGCAGCGCAACGCACCCGAGGGCTCCCACCTGTTTCAAGGTCAACGCAGACTGCTCTCGAGCAGGCTCCCTCCGGCCTGGAGTTGCTGGATTCTAGATCAACAGCAATTCCTCCCCATTTGGCGCGTTGGAATTGGACGCAAACTGTGGCGATTTGGGGAATTCTTGAAAGCAACGCGCCATAGCCGACCACGTCACTCCTTCAAAGCCAGCGCAGTCTTACCAACCAACCAAATGTCCGACCGAGTAGAATCGATCGTTAACGGAGCTCGCCTCCGCGCCGTGTCAGACCCTCTGGGTTGGTAGACAGACTCCACCGGGTGCTCCTCCGCCCAGCGCGACACTGCCAGTGATGGGAAGTCGACACGAAGCCCCGGCAGATTGGGGCAGCGCTTTCGCCAGAGGGGCGGAGGCAGGCTGGCACCGACACAGCAACCAGCACGACCAGAGGCACACGGATCAGATAGGAATGAACGGACTCAGCGAGGCTCCCGCTCACCATGGAGCGCCTCGTATTTGTATTAAAACCAGTGCGTCAGTACATCGTTATTGTCTTTGGTACTGTTCCCAACGTTCCCCAGTTCAACTCCGACTAAGAAAAGACTCTTTCCCATCCAATACACATCATAGTGCGCCTGCCATGGATTAGATCATCCCTCGATTCTACCCCGAGCATGGCAGCGGCATACCCCAATCACAGTCTGGCCGTGCCCCAAACATGGCGCCATCACACGCCGACCCTTGACAACTCATCAACGGTTGGTCAGTTCTAGTCATGCCTGCCCAAGCATTA